TTAAGCTATTTGATATTATCCAAAACTGCATCTGTCTGAGGTGTTGTGATTTGATTGGTCCATCCTCATCAGCTGACTACCATAAAATACATTATCATTGTTTTTCAAAAGAAAACTGAAATTTTGTCGAGCGGAGCTTATCATATGAGTGATTGTCCGGCGTCGTCCGTGTCAATGTTTTACTTTTTCGACTTCTTCTTGAAAACTACAAGCCTGAATGCTTTGATACTTGGTGTATATGTACAAATGTACCTTGGGTAGACCTCTCTCAGATTTGTTCATTTCATGATGATATCTTCAATTCTCTAATTTTGGTGAATATTTTTGTCATTTTTGGTAAAAAGTGATATTTTCGACTTCTTGTTAAAAACTGCAAGTCCAATTGCTTTGATATTACATATATAGATACTACATGTGGATCTCTCTCAGATTTGTTCATTTTGTAATGATATCTTCAATTCTCTAATTCCGAAAACAGGGACTTATGTTTTGACCTCTGTGTGTGCGTGCGTGCGTCTGTGCGTGCGTCCAAACCTGTATCTTAGAAATGCCTGAATCAATCACAATCAAACTTCACACATACATCATACATGATATTATACATATGCACGTCAATTTGTTTCACGATCTGATTCAAGATGGTCGAATGGCGGCCATTTTGGTGCTAAAAAATCCTTAAAATCAAGTATTTCTCGGCTGTTTACAAATGGATTTTGTTCAAACTTGGTATATACATTAGACATTATAGGACCTTGATGCACATCATTTTATTTTACGATCTGATTCAAGATGGTCGAATGGCGGCCATTTTTTGTGCTAAAAAATCCTAAAAATCAAGCATTTCTCGGCTGTTTATAGATGGATTTTGTTCAAACTTGGTATATACATTAGACATTATAGGACCTTGATGCACATCATTTTGTTTTACGATCTGATTCAAGATGGTCGAATGGCGGCCATTTTTGTGCTAAAAAATCCCAAAAATCAAGTATTTCTCGGCTGTTTACAAATGGATTTTGTTCAAACTTGGTATATACATTAGACATTATAGGACCTTGATGCACATCATTTTGTTTTACGATCTGATTCAAGATGGTCGAATGGCGGCCATTTTTGTGCTAAAAAATCCCAAAAATCAAGCATTTCTCGGCTGTTTACAGATGGATTTTGTTCAAACTTGGTATATACCATAGACATTATGGGACCTTGGTGCAAGTAATTTTGTTTTTCAGATAAGATTCAAAATGGCCGACTGGTGGCCATTTTGTATTAATGAATGTGGTTCTCGTGCCATATCTCTGACTTGTTTTTTTTAATTTGATATTTTTGCTTCACTGTTTTTCCACCACAATAATTTTGTGTTATGCATTTTCTTAAAATCATAATCCTCTTCTTATGACATTAGCATGCAAGGTACATGTAAATCATAAGATATGCCAAGGAAACAATTTTGAAAATCTGGCTTTTAAAATCTGATTTATGACCCCAAGTCTCAAAAGATCATTTTGAAATCTGATATACACATCTGTGGTTGATTGTTATCTGTCTCCCAAAGGAGTAGGAACAGCACATAGCATGGCACTAATATGACTCTTCTATTAAATGGGTGTCTTCCCTCTGGGTTCTATAAAATGTTCATACTCGATTTGGGGAGTGTTTAATTAAAAGTATTTTCAAGTACTGTGAAATACTTTATTTTAGCTGGAATTAATTTTCGCTGAAAAGCGTTTTTGGGTGTTTTCTATGGATTTTATTTTCACTGATTTCTGATGAGTTGAATGTGAAATATAGAAAAAGGGTATATTCACTGAATTTTATTTTCACCGAATCATTCCTTCTGCGAAAATAGCGAAAATTAGTTCCAACCAAAAATAAAGTATTTTACAGTATAACTTAAATTACTAATTGCATAACCTGTGCATTTTACAATTACTGGTTATTTTTCATTTTATCATCAGTAAGCAAATCTTGAATCAGTTGAATTTTATTGAATAAAGCTGAATAATAGTGTTTAACTTGTGTATGTAAAACATAATTCTGCAATCAGCTGTTCACATAAAACCTGGTTCTGTAGTGCAAATATTTGTATTCTCTGTTGTTACAAAATACTTGGCAGCAACACCTGAATACACAATTGCATTTGTAATTCCTCATTGAATGTTAATGCAAGGAATCCTGCTACGAATACTGATGAGTTATCATTAGTACATGTACCTGACACATGCATAAATCTTCCTGGTATAGTATAGCGCAATTTAATAGGACAGATCATGAATCTTTGCAGCTTGGGTATCCATCTACCCTTTTGCTTATGTCCCACTCTTAACTTTGAAATTTAGAAGTAGTTAACTTAGTGTGACAAGGTCGTGTGGGTTGCGCCCTCTGCGGTGCTCCAAACCCAACACACGCCTGACAGAGCGAAGTAGTTTTTCACTTTCCTCAACGAATTTTTGTTGATACCAATCAAATTGAAGGAACATTAGTTAGTACCATCAAAAAGTAACCATTCAAGGCAGAGTTTATTTCCGCCTAATGTTTATCATTTTCTTGTAAACAGTCTGTATTTTTCGCCGACAATGCAAACACAACTTTAATTGATGGTGTTACCATGACCACCAAAATGAATATTCATTGAAACTCATTGCAAGAAGGTGTGGACTTTGTGAATTCACAATCTTGCCAACGAGACATACACTACCGTATTCTGTCAGGCGTTAGTGAGGTCTGATGCTGTTCGGCCGGTGAAGGCGCCACTCATGTCTACATGTCAGGCTAGGGTTAACTCTCATCAGAAAATTAGTATATTAGTATATTCATATTAGCAACATACTTTATTTGTTTATCATCTAATCAATAACACAGACTGTGAATGTAAGATATTCACAGCTATTCCAGACACTGGTGGGCTTGCTAGAATCTATGGTACACCACAACCTGTATTGTACCCAATAACTGACTTTCATTCAATTTACATGTAACTCAAATTACTATTATTGTGACTTGCGCTATACCAGTCGTATACTTTGCTCTTAAAGCAGGAGGGTGGTCACCTGCGCACGTGCTGGAATTGAGTCCTAAGCGACGATAACAACACGCGGCTAAAAATGCAAAGGCTCATGGGTAAACTCTTGTTTGTAAAAAATGACATGCTATGGCCATCTGACGCATGCGCAGGTAACGACTCCCCCGCTTTAAGAGCTACCTGTAGGTATACTGAACTGTCATTGTAGGTTCCAGGATGCTGATGCTTGACAGTGTCAGATGACATACATGTACACCTGTACATGTAAGGCTGTTGTATTTGTAATGTCAGGCATAGTTGTCACGTCTGTCCAGATATTACAGGCTTGATTCAGTGCTGCATGGCTGCATGCCCACACAACAGTGAAATCAAAGAGGATTTTCTCAGTACATATACATATACTGTTAGAATATGAAAACCACAACTAGAATGATGAGAATGGTTACATTGGATAAAGTCAGAGGTACATTACTTGGGGTTTGTAACTACGGTGACATGATACCAAGATCCCGTCACAATCTCGCTCTCGCATAAACGTTCCAACTCAGAAAAAATGCAAATGCGCATGCCCGAGGTAACTAGGATACTGGGATGTCCAGGTGGATCAAAATAGCTGCCCACGATATGACGGATTACGAGAACTATATTTTCTGTACATTTTCGATGTATTACATTTTTCACTATGATAGTGACAAGAAAAGTTTATTTTTTTCATTACAAACCTTGAACATTGATATGCGTCATGTCAGAAGGTCGTAGCCTCAGTCTCGCTATCTACGAGAAGAGACTTGAATGGGATCTTGACATGATGTCACCATACAGTACTATGCAAGTTGCAAACCCCAAGTAATGCACCTCTGATAAAGTATAATGCATCAATTTAATGTACACTCATCACGGATTGCACATGGTTGTTAACTATAATTATGTGTGAATATAGATTCTACTTTAAACGAGACATCGTGATTCACTATCGTACTGCCCTCTATGCACAAGGCTGATTGCGTGTTTTTTTTGCTTTAAAAGATAAGTGAGGAAAAAAATTTGTGCACATAGAATGTTGCACTAGTTAATACATTTTCTTCATGTGTGCAGACACAGTGACTTGTTTCTGAGAACCAATCATCAGGGGTTTTTCTAGAAAAAACTGCAAGAGAGAGCACTGCAATTCAGCAGCGCCACCAAGTGGGGGAGATAGGGTTCTCCCTACCAGGGTGTGGAGTTTTTGATAATTCTAAGTTAAAATGGAGCATTCTACAGCTTCCTTGGGACCAAAATTACCCGGTACTATCAGACAGGTCACAGTTGAAGACTATGGCAACATGTGATCCCTGGTCAATCAGAATTTTATAGTTGCCAGAGGATCTGCTTCCCAGGGTGACGGGTGCATGGCCATAGCATGAGGGCGCTGCGTCCCTGTTCCCTTGTTTAAAATAATCCCTGAATCATTGTATCCGTAGATAAAATATTGATCTTCCTTCAGAAGATTAGGACAAAAATAGACAAATTTAGTGAAAACTGAAAATTGACTCAAATTTTATCTGTTTTGTCTCCAAAATTAAGGTTCATTAAAGAATATAAGAAAAAAAAGTTTAATTCAAATAATGCCATGCAAAGTGGCCGTTTGTCGTCTACTTCACAGCCCATTTTATATTGAGGGCATTTTGCAGCACATACAAGTTGTTTTTATCACCAGAATTCATTCATAAATCTCAAATTTCATGTACAGTGTGACAAAAGCCAGACCTCTGCTCCCCTTTAAGTACTTTTAGGTGGTTGCTACATGTATACACATGTTCTACTGTATATTAAAATAAAAGATTCCGACTGACACATATTCCTACCTGGTATTACATGGACACTGCAATGATCAATTGGTGTCTAATATACATGTATACATCCTGGTGTGTAGAAAGCTTGTTTTTATGACACGCATCAATATTACTAACACATTGCTCTTTCTTTTGCTTTGTTGCAGACAAATTTTAGACACAAAATATGGTTTAAAAAGGTGGCAGATTGGTGAAATCGCTTCCAAGATTGGACAGCTGTATTATCATTATTAGTAAGTTTGGAAGTTCTTTTTTTTGTATTTAAAACAACTTTTTTATTGGGGCATACTTTCAAACTTTATATAGCATATATAGATACACTGTAACCTCAATATAATGAACACCTTTATAATGAATTTCCTGATATAATGAATTCATAACATGTCTCCCGATCACTACAAACCCAATGTATTATGTGGTTCATTATACATGTAGTGAACATTTCACTATAACAAACTAATTATATGTCCCCCAAAGAATTGGTTATAACGAGGCTACAGTGTAACTGGTAATTAATTACATGTAATAAAAGGCCATAACAGTGGTCTTTGTGAAGCTATCTACATGCTGGTAATTCATTTCAAGAATTTACTCCACTTCTTGATGTGAGAATTCAGTTTGTTTCTCCAAGAGGCAATATTATATTATATTTTATGAACATGCCTTTTTTAAACAATAAAGTTAATTTTTGCTTTCAGTTTGAAAGTTCTTCAGTTAGCATGTGTGTGGTTGCACTCATAAGGTGAACAGATTAACCCAGTCTCATCCTGAGCTTGTTTAGAACAGAGTCAGAGGGTCAGTGTGACCTTTATTTCTGTGTTAAACGCTATAATCATATGTGAACAAAATTTCTGAGTTTAAAAAAAATTCCACTAGCAGTGCTCAATAGTATGTGAATAGGTGTAAATGCCAAGCTTAATATGAACCACAATGAACAGAACATAGGTTTTGCCAACTGATAAGGGATATTTACAAATATGTCAAACCCTCTGTTTGACTGTGAACAAGGCTTCAGATTATTTCATTTCATCTTAATATAAAATGTTCTGAAATTGAACTGCATGAGTTCCTGAGAACAGCTCACAGATTGGCAAGATAACGCATGAGTAGACATGCCCTGACAAAACCATTAACTGTTTCATTAATAACAGTGTTGCAGCAAAGGACTACTGGGCTTTGCTATCTATATTGTGCACTTTATGTTAAAGCCATGTGCAATTAGTGCTGTATCAAAGGTAGTACACTACTATTAGGATAAAACAAGAAATGTCACTACAAATTCTGAATCAATGCAAAGGTAATCACAAGATTGTGCCTGATTGTCTACTGACATTTACAATAAGAACAATTAAGAGAGCAGCATGTTTTTAGCTTCGCTGTCGACTTTGTCGCGCGGAGCTTATCATATGAGTGATTGTCGTCGTCCGTGGTCTGTCGTCTGTGTCAATATTTTACATTTTCGACTTCTTCTTGAAAACTACAAGCCTGAATGCGTTGATACTTGGTGTATATGTACCTTGGGTAGACCTCTCTCAGATTTGTTCATTTCATGATCATATCTTCAATTCTCTAATTTTGGTGAATATTTTTGGTAAAAAGTGATATTTTCAACTTCTTGTTAAAAACTGCAAGTCCAATTGCTTTGATATTACATATATAGGTACTAAATGTGGACCTCTCTCAGATTTGTTCATTTTGTAATGATATCTTTAATTCTCTAATTTTGGTGAATATTTTTGTCATTTTTGGTAAAAAGTGATATTTTTGACTTCTTGTTAAAAACCACAAGTCCAATTGCTTTGATAATACATATATAGGTACTACATGTGGACCACTCTCAAATTTGTTCATTTCATAATGATATCTTTAATTTTCTAATTTTGGTGAATATTTTTGTCATTTTTGGTAAAAAGTGATATTTTCAACTTCTTGTTAGAAACCGCAAGTCCAATTGCTTTGATATTACATATATAGGTACTACATGTGGACCTCTCTCAGATTTGTTCACTTTGTAATGATATCTTTAATTCTCTAATTTTGGTGAATATTTTTGTCATTTTTGGTAAAAAGTGTTATTTTCGACTTCTTGTTAAAAACGACAATTCCAATTGCTTTGATATTACATATATAGATACTACGTATGGACCACTCTCAAATTTGTTCATTTCATGATGATATTTTCAATTCTCTAATTTTGATGAATATTTTGTCATTTTTGGTAAAAAGTGATATTTTCTTCTTGTTAAAAACCCCAATCATTTATGGTGAAAAATGATATTTTTGAATTCTTGTTGAAAACTGCAAGTCCCATTGCATTGATACTATGCATATTGTTCATTTTCTAATGATATCTTCTGTTCTTTAATTGAAATGTGCATTGCTAACAGCGGAGCTATCTCAGCCGAGAGGCTGCTTGTTTTTTGTTTGGTTTTATGAAAAATTAACGCTGAAATCTTTAAAAAAGAGGTCAGGAATGTTGTTGTATATTGTGTCTTTAAACTGTAAAAATTGCATTCCATCATAAAGAGCCATTACTGAAATACCTGGTCACAAAGTTGAATATCAGCGAAAACACTTTGCAGTTACTGTTTATAAATCTTGGCCAAGCACATTGACACATGTGGTATAAATATAGCTTCAGTTTTCAGCAGCTAGAGGATAAATGGGTCATACTATTACTAATCTCAGTGAAAACTGTAGAGGGGGGTCAGGGCTACATTTTGATGGGAATTATAGTGGTGATACTGTAACAAACCCAGGTCCTGGTAATATACAAAGACCAAAGAAGTCAAGTTGTTATTAAAGGTACATCAAGGTTTACTCAGATTTATGAATGCGGTTTCTTTCATTTATTTATGAGACAGTTTGGTTGCACTTGTGTTCTCTGAGGTTTTGGACATTGGTCAATGGAAGTTTTTAGTTATCAGTACAATACTAGATTAAGGGAAATCACTTTATGATGAGTTGTACCCACATATAATTCACCTGTTTGCAGATGTTCTATGTATCATTTTATAATTAAATGATGGGGACTGTGACATTCATGTCTTGTTAATTCAGGGTTTACACAGAATAATTCCAGTCGTGTAAGAATGACCAAGTGCCTTGTGAACTAATTGTTGCCTTAAGTATTTTGAGTTGACTGCACTCAAGTGAAAGCATCAGAAAATTATCACAATTGTGTCATTATAAACTAAATAAATATTTTGATGTGTGTGTCTGATCTCCTTTAATTGGCTTCCTTTAGGAGTGCAACCTACATGGGCAGAAAATCTGCAACCTCCATACATGTATCAGTCTTTAATCTGATTGTGAATCCCTATACTAATACTGAAATAATGATTTGTTATTTTGATGGGAATTACAGTTTTTGCTTTTTAGTTATCAGTCTTGTATCGTTTACATGATTTGTTACCAAAATTGGCTCTGTATAATAAGTTCATGAAACTAAGGTTTGGGTTTTACTCGTACTTTCAGTGCAACAAAGGCATTCCTTTCATGTTTAGAAATATTTAAAAATTTCACGATTCAAACTGAAACAAAAGGTTTATGTTGACCAATTGAATAACAATGGAATGTTTTCCAATGATGTTGCTGCACTCTGTGCTTGTTGATTGGCTTGTTTGATTCAACTGCCATTGAAATTCATAAATACTTGTAAAGATGAAGGAATGCCTTTGTTGCACCAAGTGTAGTAGTTTACATTTTGTAGTTGTCTTAAAAATTTAAAAGTGAATATATTAATAATACTCCGGTTGTTTAATTTTATGACTAATGGAAAAGTAAGTTGCTTGGGGTGTCTGACATGCATTTTTTGTTGGAATGCACACAAACAGAGTAATAGTTTGTCATTACCACTGAATACTACAGTGATTTGTTGTGTTAGATAATTGTCTAATAGACAAATCCGTCAGGTGATAAATCAGACAGTATTCAGTAGTCCCTAGGCCTTTAGTAGAAGTCTTCTGATTTGATAGACAAAAGTATTCAAGTTATAACTCTGTATTAATTCATTAACAGTGATTGTTTATTTGTAGTCATAGTTTTTCTTCCAGGATTTTTGGTTTATCCCATATACTGTCATAGGCAGTACACAATTTATGTACTGTGCTTTTATGAGATATCCAAACAAGGGGAAATTTTTGCCAGTAGACAAAATGGAGAATTTCAAGAAGATTATCAACATTAGTGTTCGAATATATAGAATATGGAAAAACAAAATAAAAAAAATATTTTTGGTCACTTTTTGAATTAATGTATGCCCTTTTGCATTCATACATGTACATGTAGTAATAAGGCGCTGTCAGGGTTAACCTTTTCACCACCAGACTTTTTTGCCCAAATTTTTCTTTAGTTTTATTCTAATATTCTTCAATATTCCTGAAAATGAACCATAATTTTGGAGCCAACAGACAAAATACATGTATCAGTAAATTATCAGATTTTACTCATTCAGACAAACAATAATTTTTCTATTTTTGTGCAGACTATAAACAGAACTATTTTATGAATTTGTGATGAAAATAGGTAACTGGTGGTGGTGAGAAGGTTAATATACATCCAATGCGTTTGCAGTATTTTGGACTGTGAGCATAATAATTCTACGTAGATGAAATTAATTATGATTACAAAAATGTAGTTTTTACTTTAGTATCAAATGGCATGATTTATTATTGCTGTCCCACATTCATCCTCTCCTACCTGTATTTTTAATTGAGCTAAAGTACGCCAATTCCATTCCTCATACTGTGTTTCCTTGTAGTACATAACATGTATTACATGACATCTTTGCTTTGGGGCATACAGGAGATAACTATGTTTTAAAAAAATCTGAAAGTATGGTAGACCTTTACAGACTCTATCAATTTTAATGGATGGACGTGGTTCAAGAGTTCATATTTTTCTGTGCTGGACTTATCTTCTGTTGTAAAACTATCCTGATGGTTCTGGTCGTGAAAAAAACATTAAACGATGGTGGTCATTGCGCATGCACAAGATACATGTATTGGTCTCATATAAACAAAGATGGCGACTTTGCCTGTTGCGCAGATCACAAGTACAAACTGAAGCATTACCAAGCTTTAGCCAGGTATCAAAGGAGTCACTGGCATTAATTAGTTCATGTCGCACCAAGGTCAAAACTTGTTCTTGTGATTTCCATTAAAAGCGTGCATTAGATTGTTTATCAACACAAATGTGTTGGCTCGATGAACACCATCCTTCAGAGGAAGTTGGTTCTTATCTCTGAGACAGTCCATTGTCTTCCTTTCAGTTTTGTAGAAGTAGGAGCATAGTTTATTATATTCCTTCATATTCACTTCACACAAATGTAAAGACTTGTTGTTTCAACACTTCTTGAAAATGGCAGCACTCACAAAAGTTCAGCTTGGTTTTGCTGGTTAATTTTGTTGACTGTTTTTGAGACTAAAATCCATGCTTCAATCTGATTATGGGCGCAGTGACGTAGAACATTTTCTTGGATTCAACAAATGCATAAAGGGGTATTTCCATGCTTAATGATGTGATATACACATCTGATGATGGTCAGTTTTAATGAAGTGAAAATACCTCAATGCCATATTCCCATCTTGAAAGATTAGCATTTTAACATTGAAGTATAAAAAAGTTCAAATTCAAATCATTTGAATCAATATATAATGCAGCAAGCATTCAATTTGATTTTTGCAGCTGGGCTATTTTACTCATACAAGTACATTGTAGAACCACTAAATGAATGAATGAATTAAAAAAGTGATTTGTCTAGTATTTAAATTCAAATAGTAAATCACATCAAGTCACAAAAATGAAGTTGATTCAACTACATTGGCATTGGTAATATTAGAAAAGTTTACCTAACTTAATATAGTGACCCCTTGCCAGTTACAGTTTTGAAGTATAAGAACTAATGTTTCATACATCTTGTATTTAATTGGCTGTTAAGGGTCTGGAGAAGACAACTTAACACCTACTGGTTGTCAATTACTGAGATGCAAAAGGTGACGGAAGCTTGACACCGAGGTGTGGACGTATGAAGTCGCGACTTTACATACTTCTCGGCCGTTCCCTCTTGATAAAGCTCTATAAAACTCGCGACCCTCAATAAATCACGATTTTTGCTTGAATCCTGACACCCGCGACTTAGTGAATTGCCACTATACTTGCTCTAAGTTATCAACAATTTTCACTAAAATTCCATTCACAAATCCATTGTAAAAAGCTGTTTTCAAAATAGCGCACATTTATAAGTATGTGACCTCACACCTTGATTAAAATTCTATTTGTAGTGTGAAACCTATACCGAGCAAGTGTCTGAAACAGGTAGCAGAATAAACCTACTAATAGTACCATTTTGCTGCTTTCCTGCTGTGACACTCAGGGTCTTGCAGTAAATCTAATATACTAATGCATGTTGTCTTTGATTGGTTTTAGTTTACGCACCAGTGAAACGAACTACTTGAATGAGTCATTCTCATTCTATTCTGCAATCCGTGCTAGAGCGTATTATTCCAAAGCAAATAAAGAAGGGTAAGTTCTCTCCTCATTATTATTAAAGCCGCAATGAATCTCTCCTGAAATATAAACAAGCATTCAAAAGAATTTACAGTATCTACCACTGGGGGCAGTATTCTACAAATACATTCTCATTATTGAAGCTGCAATATATCTCTTGAAATATGAATAAGTACGGATAGTTATGTGCATTCAAAAGAATTTACAGTATCTACCACTGGGGGCAGTATTCTACAAATACATTTTCATTATTGAAGCTGCGCTGTATCTCTTGTAATATGAAAAAGTAAGGATAGTTATGTGCATTCAAAAGAATTTACAGTATCTACCACTGGGGGCAGTATTCCACAAATACATTCTCATTTTTGAAGCTGCAATATATCTCTTGAAATATGAATAAGTACGGATAGTTATGTGCATTCAAAAGAATTTACAGTATCTACCACTGGGGGCAAAAATACATTTTCATTATTGAAGCTGCGCTGTATCTCTTGTAATATGAAAAAGTAAGGATAGTTATGTGCATTCAAAAGAAGTATTCCACAAAAATACATTCCATGAGTATTTAAATTGTTCAGTGTATTCGGGTGATGAGTTTACTTTATTTGTGTTCAATGTTTACCTGTCATGAGTAAAAACTTTCTATGTACAATCATTGATTTTCAATTCATTGACGCACTATGTGTGAAAGGCACATTCAAAAATAGAATGATTTGATTCTCAACTTTGAATGTCGAAATTCTGATCTTTCAGAGGGTATTGACATTAAATGTGCAATGACCTTTGTGCGTCTTGTTTTCACGTTTGATTTCACACATAACACATTTTGCAGTGGACAGAAAATGATATATCAATTTGAATAAATGAATGTATGCACAATTTATTTGACGACCACTTGTTCTAACGAGAAAGTAGTTCTCGTATTGCTCACTCCTAATCTTCTTGTTGTATTTTTTCATTACTCAGGCCGGAACTTTGTGTGAAGAAGTTGAGATATTATGCACGGTTTGTGGTGGTGTGTTTGCTACTCAGAAAAATCAGTCTAGTACGGGAACTTATTCAGGTATGTTACGCAGTGTTGCTGTTTTCTTTCATAACAAGTACAAATTACATAAATGTGATGGGTATTTCTGTTTATTATGATACCTAGAGGTGGTAATAATCCTATAAGAAATCTCACTTCTCTCCCTTTCCTGACAGTACATTGGATATCAGTTTGTTTTTTTCATTTTCTTGCATAATTATTAATAGCTGTTCAGTGCTTTGGACTTAAATCTGCGCATGTGCAGATGACGCTTCAAGAGACATGCAACTGTAGTATTAATGTAAGATTCAAACGTTCATTGGGTGAGAAATTATGTTTTGAATGAGTTTTTACTTCTCTTCTGTTAACAAAGTTGAGAAGAGCTTTTTGTATTATTGTCACGTGATTTGCCACATCAACTTTACATTTTCAACTTCTTAAAAACTCTCAGCTGTATGGTTTTCATACTCGCAATGATAAAAATGTACCTTTGATGGGTCTCTCTCAGATTTATTTATAAGACATACTTTGTATGCCTGTGTTTATCAGACATACTCCTGATACATGTATTTTTAAGCAAAAACTTATCTCAACCAGTTGTGGTTAATGAGTGCTTTGTCATTTAGCTGTATTTTCTTTTTATGACAGGAATTAAATAAACAAATAGAAGAGTATACTAGTTTATATGAACCAGAAGATCAGTTGGAATGGCAGCTAGTGCTCGGGGAAATCAGGTCATTTATTGATGTATGTATACCATCTATATATACCCGGTAACCACAGTCATTGCCTTGTGTTCAATATAAGTCCCTTGTGATATATACAACATACATTAAGTATTATTGTTTGTTTGAAATTTGAAATGCTATGTGTCAACAGCCACTAAAGCTTATTTGAACATTTTGTATAAACCCTTTGAATATCAATATTTTTCCAGTCAGCCAAAATTTTGCACGTTTTTGTGTTTTTTTCTATAGTTTCCTTGTTTAATTTTGACCAAGTAGACATGATTTATAATCAGTAATATATTTATTGATCAAAATTTCAACAACAAATAAAAACAATGCTGCTGGTTTATGTTATGAATGGTGAATGTAATGCACAGATGCTTATTGTGATTACATTGATAACTCTAACTGGCTTGTATTATCAGCTTGTACTTTGGTTGGCACAAGTTAAACAAAATATGCGCATTTCATTTACTGTCTCTTTCAAGATTGCCATCTGACAGCCTTTGGAGTGCAAAACGATGCACCATAGTCAAGATTTCATTCAAATTTTGTACATATTTAGAATTTAAGGAATCCTTGATGCACATCATATTTTTTGTAAGGGATCTTGAAAGCTGGCAGCCATTTTGTTTACAATGGTGCTTTTTCACAGCCATATCTGTGAAATGCTTGAACTAATCACATTCAAATACATACCTAATGCTTGTAAGTGTGAGCTGCACATCCTTAATATTGCTTGGTTTGGGATGTGAGATGAAAAAAAAACTAATCTTTGATATAAACCATGTGATACTTGCTGCATAAGATAACTTCACTAAAAATGACCTACGTAATAATGGGCGTGTGTCCATGATCAAACTAAATCCTAAATTTTGTTTTAAATCTTTTCACAATCAGTTCCCTCCCAACTACAAAACAGTAGTAAAAATATGTCATTTTAACAATTTCACGATAATGACTTATAATAACGTATTCAGTGATTGTGTTTACATTGCAGGCAGAGCAGATAATTAATGTCATAGAGACAGATACCAAACCATTAGTATTAACACATAGATTAAGTAAAGATGGCGTACCGGCATTGGACAGAGGACAACATGTATATCTTACATTACAAGAAGCACTGATCATTGGCAATTGTAATGAACAGGTAACAACATCTTATTATGATTATACATCTGGCAGTAAAGACAGTATAATTTAACTGGCAGTGAAAACTCAAGTCAATGCAAAGACACTTACAACATTGTGTCTGATTGGCTATCCAACCCTAACACCCAACAATCAGACCAATCAAAGATAAGCTTGTTTGCTAACAGGTTTTTTTAACAAATCAAATTCGGTCTTGCATATATGCTTTGATACAATTTAAAAAACTCTTGTTCAAGAGTTTTACTGTAAAATACTTTATTTTAGCTGGATTTAATATTCGCTGAATAGATTTTTTTTGGTGTTTTGTATGGAATTTATTTTCACTGATTTTTGAAGTTTAATGAAAAATATAGGAAAAAAGGTATTTTATTTTCACTGAATGTAGATAGGAGTAATCTAATTTGTTAGGACAATACTTCTTGAAATGCCAGGTGAATTATATTGCGTGTTATACACACTGTTCATTTAATTGTATTAATCGATATAACAGGTAATTAAATTTTATTGAAGAAACATGTTTTGATGAGAATGGAATCACATTAAAGGCTTTTACAGTCTAAAATGTTCACCTATTACAAGATTATTTATTCTTTTATACATATTGTGCTGAAAATTTACTGTTCTGTTAAAAGGCTGATCTGTATTCATTCCAAAACATATCTGCTCCAGTTCATTTTTACATTCAACGCCACCAACACATTCCCGGTTATTGACACCACAATCAAACACTTTTCTTTGTCTACATTAGACGTAGAAGCGATACAATGTATGCTTGAAATAAAATTTTGTTAATGAACCCAAACGTTAGCACAGTGTAAACCATTTTTTCGTTGCCATTTTATCTATTAAACTTATCAGAGAGAAATGGTGTATAATTGTGGTGTATATCACAAGATATGTGTCTATACAATCATTGCACTGTCTTTGTGCATACTTTGCAGGATTATTGTAGTAACCTCAGATTTTCTTCTCAAGTTATTTTGAATTTTCTAATATTTATTATTTACAGATTAAATTCAGTGAGTTGACCCTTGACATGTACAGAATATTACAGGCATTAGAAAGAGAACCAAAGGGAGATGACATCCATCATCACCACCACCATAACGACTCATCACCTGCACCAGGTCAACAACCAGTGGTATGTATGGCCTAATATTAATATGCAAATTATTTGTACCACTTGGTCAACAACCAGTGGTATGCATGGCCTAATGTTAATATGCAAATTATATGTACCACTTGGTCAACAACCAGTGGTATGTATGGCCTAATATTAATATGCAAATTATATGTACCACTTGGTCAACCAGTGGTATGTG